ATTGACCTTTGACCTACTTTTCACCATGAACTGAACTTTGCAAATTTTGCTTTCCTTTTATCTCCAAAACTGGCAGAGATAGGTCCATCGTTACTATTGAACTTGAATAGAAAGTCATATACTGGCAATCTAAATGTGACCTTGAAATTGACCTTTGACCTACTTTTCACCATGAACTGAATTTTGCAAATTTTGCTTCCGTTTTATCTCCAAAACTGACAGAGATAGGTCCATAGTTATTATTAAACTTGAATAGGAAGTCCTATACTGGCAATATAAGTGTGACCTTGAAATTGACCTTTGACCTACTTTTTATCATGAACTGAACTTTTTTTCTCTTTTAACTTCAAACTTGACAGAGATAGGTTCATAGTTATTCTTGAACTTGAATATGAAGTCATATACTGGCAATTTACTGTGACCTTGAAATTGACCCTTGACCTACCTTACGAAGAACTTAAATTTGATTGTACCATATATGTTTTTTGCAATAGTTTAAAAATTCTTGTTGATTGCATTTTTACAGCTTGTCAAGCACAAAGCTGGTGGCTGTGTCCCTTATTTTGTGTATGTGGGGGTCTATACGAATGCGCTTGCTCCAGCTGGTGGTACAATATTCGGAGGCGGTATCGCCTCTCTGATCCTCTAGTTCTCTATAGTTATCTGTTTTTTGTCAGAAATCCAGTATCATCATTATAATATTCATTATTTTCCCGATTAATTTAAATATTTGGTTTTCTAATATTTAAATTTACAGCTAAAAAAATCTTGTACATGAGTCAAAAAAAAAAAAAAAAAAAAAAAAAAAAAAAAACAAGCTTAGACTGATCTTTAGCTGTTTGGGAGGTCCACTAAATTTCAGGACCTCTGTCAGCTAATATATCTTGGTGTCATGGGTGGTGTAGAATGATCTCTTTAGATCACCAGTAGATGGACTGACCAGTCCATGTGTGAGATTAGATCGATCTACTTTAGATTGACCTAACTCCCTGGGGGTTCATGCTAAATAGCTGTTAGCTGGGCAGACACGAAAGTTAATTACCCCCTTACAGCTTGTAGTAGGCGGGACGGACATTTAAGCCGGATTATCTTACAGTAATCTAGTGAGACTCCCCGCGGGGATAGATCGATCTAAAATCTCTGGGAATACAGCCTAAGTTAGCTAAACACCAAGAGCTATAGGCATTTTTACATGGGCTTCAATAAAATTTTGATTTTTAACAAGTGTACTTAATAGAAATGAGTAATTGAAAAATATATTAAGGCTTTGAAATGTCAAATAAGTGCTTTAATACATAAATTAAACTTCCTAATGGAAGGAACCTTTAATCCTTCTTAGCTGATGGGTCCAGTTGTATTAATAGCAGGAATCCCTTCAGTCTGTGGGAATTGCTTACTATTAAGGGGGTAGGCTGTTACATAATCAAGCTGAAAGGAATTCTACATGCAGGGGAGTGTTAGTGCAAACAAAGTAGTGCACGTATAACTCCTTGATTTGTGCTACAGTGTAGCTGTTCCCCTGAAATGATGAAACTTTTTGCGTTCTAAGCCATTGTCTCTATGGAGGCTAATTATTTCAGAAGGCCACAGCAGTGGTAAGTCTTAATTTTTTTATGAGATTTTAGTACAAGAATTCTTGTGGAAAACAGATTTCTAGTGGAAACAGAACATTAGAAGCATAGGTGATTGGAATGAGTCAGCAATCTGCCTTGTGACATTTTGTAGTAAGCTCATGGTGGCCTAATTTGAACTAAGACAATGGAAGTATATATTGATTGTCTGAACTTTTTGAATACTTTTGCTGGTGTCAAGAGTCGCATTTACCATGATTGTCAGAATATTGGTAGCACTAGCACTTTATTTACTTTTTTTATTTACTTCAGTGCTAGTCACTTGCTGCATGTAATTAATCAATCATTCATTTCACAAGACTTGAAGCTGGTCAACAAGTACCCCTTCACCCTCACAAGTTTCACACTACTGAAAATTGATCTGATTTTGTTGCCAACAGCCAGATAGCGCTATAAATTACTCTACTAATTTATGAGAAAATTTGGCCTTAACCTCATGGAGTGAAGACAGGTTCTACAAATTGTTGACTGATGAAACCTTTGTGTTCTCTTTAAAGAGATTTTTCTCAAAAAAAATTGAAAATTTAATAAAAACACTAATTCTGCAACTCTGTAAGTTAATGAAATAAGATAACATACTCATGGTGTGACCTTCAAAACTTTTATGTAATCTTTTCACCTGTGATGCTTCCTGTCTACTGAGTAACCATCAATTTTCCTGCTTGATTAAGGTTTCCCTTTTCTCACTGTCTCAACACCTATCATATTAACTTTCAAGTTTAAGACCATTTTATCATAATGTGACATGCAATGTGTAAAGGGATTTTACTTGATAATGCTCAATTGCTAGTACTGACATGATACTACTTTCTGGTGAGATAAGGGTGTTCAGGTTGAACCTGGTACAGTTCACTGCATGGTAAAGGTCATTGTACACTAGTGGGGAATCTATGTGGTCATTTGCTATGTAAATGTTCACTCTTACCAGGTATTGCATGAATGTAGTACAGATCTTTCAAATAACAAGATGGCAAGGTGGTATATGGCTTAATGCCCCCTAACTTTAATAGTAAAATAATTTGGCAAGGTCTTTGGTTTAATAAGTCATGCTGGATGAGAGACTTCCAGTCTAGACCACTTACTACTATTATATAACTAAGTGCAGTCTTCACCTTTCAGCTATGTTATCTCTTATATCTGATTCAGTCACCCAGTCTGTCTCCACATCAAAGAAAGGGTTCAATTGTCCCTTTTGATGGAGACGGAAGATTTTGAACAAGTACTCTAATATTGTTGAACCGAGCTTTGATGCAGGTAAAAGGTGTGACAATCTAACAAGTAAGAGGTGATGAAGGAGTATCAACCCATACCCTATGCCATTCAGGGCTAGAGACTAGCTATTCACAGATATTTTTCTGGCTAATTATGTGTACAGATTCCTGGGGTGCACAGAAATTATGTAATCACCCAGCTGACCTCTGGTGGGCAGTATTCAGTCCACACTTTGGAAAAACTGATTGAGAATATTGGTCACATAAGAGACCTCACTGTTGGCAAGATTATCGGGTATGTTGCTTCATTTTCGTGAAGTTGTAATGTTTATTTGGGCAGGGTTTCCTTTGATTATGGATTCCACAGTATTTATTTTACAGTTGATTATGTAACCTACTATAAAGGTGAAGCTATTTTTTCTTGATGTTATGTTTATACAGTAATTTAAGACCTGGTATGATTTCATAGGCACATTTGTAAGGGAAAACTTGACTGAAAGGTTGGCCAAAGAAGCTCTTATTTTGACTAATTGGTTGAGCATAAGTGTATTGTTCAGACTAAAGAACAGGTTTATTTGCTGTGGACTTGTTATGATTGAGGTAACTTTAAGGCAGCATCTTTGGCAGTATTTTAACTTACCAGGAAGGATCTCAAAAGAACAAGCTTTCACGTTCATGTTTTCATTCCTTCTAGAGTAGAAAAATGTTATGCATAAGATTTTAAGCAGCATCATTTTATCAACAAAAACTGTTTTCACACAGGGAAATATTAACATGTATTGTTATCTTTCCAGTTGTGATGTCAGTACAAAAAAATATATATAGAACATTGATACAATTTATAAGGTTCTCAACACCTCTGGGAAGACACACTTATAATGAATATCTGCAACATAAGCCATATAAGGTGTATTACACAACAATGGTATGTGTTTGAAGTTATCATTGTAATGGTTACACCCCTGAAATACCTTTGATGCATCCCTATCAAAGCTCAGTCAATGTGATCAAAGGAATAACCTTGACAAAAATTAGTGAATATTTCAGTCTTTCCAGAGTATGGTGGTTGTAAAAAGATGTGTGAATCACAAAAATGTGTCAACTACAGCTAAGAAGACGGCATTAGTTGGAAGGTGAATCAAGTAATTTTAATTAATTTTAAAAATGTTGTTTTTCTCAGTTTTACAGACCTCTGGAATATAGCTTTGCACCCAGAGAATTGCCTTTCTTCATTTTATTTAAGGTTTGCTGGACCCCCTAGCTACAGTGGCAGTGGGCATTTAGATGATTTAAGTAATTTAGATGAGGCAAGAGAGGCCCTTGAAATGTGTAGCAACCTCAGGGAGGAGACATTAAAAAGACCTAGTGTGAGAGCAATTAAACCAGATGCTGTTGTGACTGAAAGCCAGTTACAGCAATTTGAAAAGAAAGTTGATAAAAAATTAAATGGACTGAAGAATATAATAAAATCCAATAAAGTGAAAAGCCAAAGAAATCCACCACATCAGTTAAAGACAGTCTCAGTGGGTTAGATTAATGTATAGAAGCAGGTTCTATGTAAAGCTTTGATCGGATTTGTGTTTTGTGAGATTGTTTATTATTATATTAATAAGTCTGGGTCACAAAAGTCCTGTTAAGACAACTAGAATAAAGAATTAGAAAACGAAAACTATTTATCATGATTTCGGAGCACAGCCAGAAGTACTTCCGGCTCAAGGTCACGACCTCGATTTTCCCACGCTTACGACCAATCACAGCAGGCTTCAGTCAGAATGAGATAGACGTCACGACTACACAGCGAAACTTGTCAGACATGTAAGTGCCGCCTGTCCATCTTTTCGGTACATGTACCGATCAAAAATAGACAACGTAAAGCCCAAAACGCTCTTATACACGTAACCAACTTTGTATGAGCACAAATATTGTCATTTATTGTGAACAGGATAATATGATAATCAGACACACTTGAGACCTGTGAAGCGCATACTCACGTGTCGAGGAGTAGTTTCGCCATTGCCTCGTATGTGAGTCCTAACTCAGCTTTAAGTGTCCTCCACCGCCCCACCTCCCTCCCAACATACACAGTCTGAGTGCTTCTTCGTCTGTCTCTAATTTTCTTTCGTATCTTTCGAACTGGAGTGGCTATTTTCTTTCG